AGAAATGACCATTTTTAGATTAAGACTTTAAAATTTCTTTATAAAGTGAGACCAGAGATTTTTTTGTTACTTTGGTTTGGGTCCGCCCTAGAGCTATGTCTATCCTTCACCCATCTTTAGATGAGAGTTTAATAGTTTCTTACGATGCTAGTTGCAGTTTTCCTCTAGCTATTGGCTCTGTTTCTCAGTGGTATTTTAATGTGCTGCTTATTTTCCTTACAGGTTAACTATTTGAGCCCACCATTATATGGTCTGTCCTTCACTTTTCATTGAAAATAGCATCTACGAGTGCTATCATATTCGCTGAAAGTGTGGGGAAGAGTGAAGTCACTATGACCAAACATTCTTTTAAAAGGCTTTTTCTTCCTCATATTCTTTTCCAGGGAGGAGGGGTGTAGCACAGCTAATCTCATTTAAGAACTTAGCTTGCCTAAGTTCTTTTCTCAACTGTGGTATCTTCAGGGTTAAAACAGGTCTTCATACACTGACTTTTGTGCACTATCTTTTTTTAATTACAGGGACAAGACTCTAGGTAAATCACTTGCCTTTTAGATAGAAAGGTTAAGTAATATGGTTGTTTCAACAAAAGGCTGTCAGCCTGGACATGGGTTTAAAGCCTGTCACAAGTGTATACTATGGAGATGTATCTCCTGCTACAGAAAAGCACCTGTAATAGCTTTTCTAGCAAATGCCCCATTCTTGAGATCTGCACAATGGATACCTGAAGTTCTCTGCATTCCTTCACCAAGCCAAGCATGAACTAGCACTTGGAAGAGTATCTTGGATTTGCTATCTTCATAAAGCTTCTGATAGTCATTTTCATGCAACCTGTGAGTGTAGGGAGGTAATGTTCATAGTGACCCATGTTTTACAAGTGCGCAAACACTCCAGAGTAGTTAATTACCAGTAGCATGAAGTTCTTCCAAAATAATACACATATGGCTAATGCATTGTTTGTTTTTCTGCCCCTGTATCTTAGTCTGTGGGTTATGTGTTGTGCACTACCTGGAGATGCTGTGGTAGCATGTTACCAAAGGAGTGCAAGAAGAGAGTGGAGTAGGAATGTGACGTAAGGACATTGCTATGCTAAAGTATTCTCAGGAAGTTTTGATTATTTAGTTATAGACATATAATAAGTTGAATGTGCATACACACTACGCACATTGAAGAACTCGTAAGTGACTCTTCTAAGGTAGGTGTCAGTCTACTGTGTGTTTTCTTCTGACAAAACTAGTGGTTAGTTGAAGATGTCAGCAGGCATTGTACTGCCTTAAACTGCCTTAATGCTACAATCCTAGCTGTTAAGAGCACTGTGGCCAGGCTGTAAAGCCAGTAGGTGCATTTAATATTTCTTACCTAAAACTTAATTGTTTTCCAGAGTCCAGTAAATAAACCAGTGGAAGATAAAGCTTGAATACTGTTTGTAAATTTTGGGGGTTTCATATGACGTACAGAAAGTTCTTCCTGCTTGGGATGTGTGGAAATTTAGTATTTTTCTCAGCTGAAAATTGCTTTGCTTTTGATGTTGCAATATTTAGAAACTTCACATCTGTTAATAGTAGTTGCATATCAGAGTTGATTTGCATCATGAGGCAGTGGTGTGAAATTAAGTAATTATCTGTTCTTTGCTATGAGTAATCTGAACTAAAACAGGATGAAATCTGAACATGTCAAAATAACATTTGTTGCTTTATTAAAGGATTACAATATTACAGGGGTAATCTAATATATTAAATACCCTACTTTCAGTTATATACAACACATGCTACATAACACGTCAGTTTAATGCACATCATACTGTTGTAAAGAAGTGATGAGGTAATAAAGGAAGAAGTGTGCAAGCACACGCACACAAACACACAGTAAGTATCTTACAGGCTTACTGAAAAAAACATTGAACTTCTAGAGGCTTTTGCTCTCCCTCTTATATGCATTCTTTAACTTATATTTTTCGTAGTAGTTGCTGTTTTGAAATGGGTGTTATAACAATCTGTTCTAGAAACCTACCTCAGAAGAATATTAGAATTATCCCAGTCAGTATTTCATAGTTGTGACTGACCTCTAAATACAGATGAGTAAATCTATTTAATAATTTGACAGTAACATGTTATAATCGTGAAATATGGTAAACATAACTTTTCTTGGCTACAGGTAACTTCTTTATATAATTTTCATCTACTGGCTAAGGATATCAAATAGCTTATGTATTGGTATCCATCATTTGCCTGCAAAGTTGGATAGTCCCTTTAATTTATATCCAGCCATTTCTGATTACAGAGGCTACACAGCAGGTAATGACTGAAATCAGATACAAAATACTGTGACAGCTGTTGTGTAGTATAGCATGTTGGCTATACAGCATATTATATCTGTTGTAAATCTGGATTAATTTCCATATGCAGGTAGCTACTTCATTTTGGTAAGAAAAATAATTAGTGTTTTTAATCTAAAATATTTGAATCAAATGTGAATTCTAATTTATAGGAGCAGATTATTAAAATGCTCAAAGTGAAGGGGAAAGACTGGATTTATCATGACAGTAATGGTTTGTATCTGCTCTCAAAATCAAATTATATAGTACTAACTTTATTCATGGCAGTTAACAAAGATTAAATTAGAATAATCACACTAATGTACATATACCAGCTACACAGTTCAAAGGATATGATTTCCTGTGTCAAATGATTCCTCATAATAATAATAATAAAACTCTTGCTGTACAGTTTGTAATATTTCCTGTATTTGAGAATATTTATACATAATATAACATACAAAAATATTTAAATGTTGTGGCAGCATTTTTACTATCCGAACTTAATTTACAGGGAATAAAAACCAGAAAATTTATCTACAGTCCATCTAAACTGCCAGTTCTAAAAGTCTTAATGTAACTACTTTTAGTACCAAGAGGTGTTCTGAATGTTATGTCATTTCAGTTCCTTTTTTTTCTTCAGCTTTTTTTCCTGGAATGATTCTTGAAAATACAATATACAAGCCCTCACATCTTAGCAATAAATGTACAATATCTTACATTCCTCATTTCTGAAAAGATAATTCCAGATAATAACATCATAGCTTTACGTGATTTTTAGAACAAGAAAGCAAACCAAGAGAAGAATTATTTCAGTGGAATGTGTTGGGATTAGGTCTTATCATCATAACAACTTTCTTTAGTGAATATGATCCCCCCCGGAATTCAGCCCAGTAAACACCATCCTGATAACGACTGCGGTAGTGTCCTCCGCGATACCAAACTCCATTGAGATTTGAATGAGCACATGCATTGTACCACCATCCTCCCTTCTGGTAATGAGCACAATTACCTGCAAAAGAAAGCTCCGATTCAGTTTCAGGAGCAAATGAAAAATGTTACAGCAAGCAAGCAAGCTAAGCACAAAACAATTTTTTTTTTTTTTAAACTGTGTATTTAACATGTAGATACCATGTTAAAGGTGAATTTAGGCTTCTTCAGGAACCAGCTCTGTAGTTAGGTTCTACAGATAGACTCATTAGTGTTACTCTTCCTTGCTGGAAAATTTGTTTGCATTACTGTCTCAAATAACTCCCCATAGCGTATTTTTACAGACCCTTGTTTAGTGTAAGTGATAAATATTTCAATGAGAATTTTTGTTTCAGTGTTAGTTCGTGTAAGGGTTGACACATCAGTTTGTGCTTTATAAGTTACTAATTGACAAATCTCTAAGAATGTAATTTCTTTTTTTTGTATGTGTGTATATCACCATAAGTATATTTCCTTTTTAAAAAAAAGGGGGGGGGGGGGATGTGGAAGGGCAAAAAAGCAAGGCAACTGAAAGGAACCTTGTACCTGTGTATACATCATGGTCCCGGTCCAGCGTGGTGAACTGTTTACCGTTATGCCAAGTGAAAGAATCTCCTGCGTTGCCATTGTAGCGTCCCAATCTCAACTTGTAATATTCGCTTTCTGGCTCCAGTCTGAAGCTAGCGTACTCAGCAAATACTTTTCGACCTGACCAGTCTTCCATTGTTATGAGCAGTTTGTAGTTGCCTTGATTTGTTAACCAATAAATATTTTCTAATCCGAGCCAATATTCTCCATCTATATTACCAAATCCTTGCTGTAAAGGAAGCAAGAGAAGCATGTTAATATTGTGCACCTGTTTTAGTGGTAAATCTGAGTGTATTCTTAAGTAGAAAACCACAATAACTTATTTTATAGAGACTTTCTCTTCTGGAAGGGTAAACACACAAGTTCCTTTTCAAGTAAGCTGTTGGCCAGACTCTAAAATTACCCTTTAAATTAACTTTACCACTAATTTTTAGAGGGTAGAAAACATTAAACTGCTCACTTGTCCTAACCTTGTATGTCTCCCAGTTCCTGAAAAAGTTGACAGACCCATCCAGCCGTCTCTGAATGACTGTCCAGCCACCAGGGTCATGCCGTTGATCACACCAGACCTGCATAAGCCGGTTTGTGTGTTCTGGTTTTACAAGATAGATGGAGCTTGTATCATGGCCATCTTCTAATGCTTGTAGACAGTCTCTCCAGGGCCCTGTGTCAAAACAAAAGGACTCTGCATCAAAATGCAATTGAGCATATCTTCAGTGCAGGGCAGTATTTGAATTGGTAGCTTTTTACAGTAGATTTGCTTCTGCTTGAGTAGTGCATTTGTTTTTCCTCTTATTGAAGGTACAGTGTCCACTGAGTATTTGAGAAATGTTGACATTAACAATGGAACTGGCAACATAAATTAAAATGTAGGTGTTACTGTTGTCACCTTAATAAATGATAACACAAAATAGAAATTAAGATTTGTAACGTGGAGTGCCCACTTACATAGTGTGAGAAATTGTAGATAAATGCGAAGACTTTTAAAATACTTTGCATTCACAGAAATTACAGATAATGCTCTCCTATTTTCAGAAGGAGAATGCATTTTTTTCCTTGAGCTTAGCAGAGTCTGTAAAGAGCTTACTTTCAAAAAGAGTCCCTTACATTCATGATTTTTAAAGACATTTTCTCCAGTGGGAAGATAGTTAGATTCCATTTTAATGAGTCTGAGAAATTTAGATATAAATGATTTAGGAGTCTGTGTAGATATCTGCAGATAGATTTCCCCCAGCTGCTTTGCTGCTATCCTCATGTCACCTAAGTGGAGGAGTGAAGTCAACAAGAATCCTCAGGATTAGAGACCCTTGATTGATATTCCTCCCCACACTGAAGGAGGAAGGCTTGTCAGATCTTCTTGTGAGGTGTCGTACTGAAGCATATGTTGCTATCAAGAGTAATTTATCTTTTAAATTATTTCAGTTCATCTACCCTTCTTCATAATTCAGTGTCCAACACTGGTAATGGTAGAGCTACCCTTCTACTCAGTAAATGAGTTAGTAATAAATTAGTTTTATAGAAGCAACTGCAGTGTTTTGGGGGTTTTTTTGGTCTTTTTAACTGGTTAATCAAAAAGTCACTGTACCAGGAGGCAATCCAAGTTTTTGGTCTGTGGCCACGCTGTGTTGTTCTTGTTTCCTGAGTCATATTCACAGACTGTACCTACAGTGCTGCTTCTAAGCCCCTTCTCCATTTCTGTTGTGGCTAACTGTTCAGATTTCTGGCAATTTAGATGTAGATGCAGTATTCTGTGACACAGTTGCATGGCTTATTATGAGAGGTGGAAGAAGACAAATGTAATGAATGCTGGTAATTTAAATTGCTCTTTTATTTTATCACAATGTGTACGTAGTGGCACTTATTAAAAACAAAAAAGAACGTGTCAGTTCAAAGTCATTATTGAAGAAACTCCTAAAATAGTCAACCACAGATCTTTGATCTTGTCTTCATAAAAATAAATATATAGCAGTATATGATGTAGTATTTACAGCTTTCTAATCTTGCAGTTTCTTTCTAGGCCACGTGGCAACAGTGCTCTACTGCACATGATTCTTTTCTCTGAAAGTGCTTTAAGATGAAGGTAAACTATTTTAAATACTTCAAAGCAGAGTTTGCTACTACTTTTTCATGACAGGTGGTTTTTTTCAGATATTAACTTTCCAAAATTTTAACTAAGGTGTGTAGTCTGAGATTTGTCATCTGGCATCAGAAATGAAAGGGAATGTACTGAAGATGACTGGGCCCAGCACAGATATCTGTAAGACACTATGGTTAACTCTGCCTAATGAAAAAAATACTTAATAATTAAGAGATTTTTATGGTTTATGTATGTGAGGCTCTTTGTACTTTGTAGCAGCTTAATTTAAACGTCTTTAGTAAGAAAGTTGTTCAGTACTTTCTGGAAATACATACGGACTGTATATCAACCAGAACTCTGTCTGCATAGGCACTGAGCCCTTCAAATATCTCTAAAAGTGATACAAAATTGGTATTACAAAAACCAAGTTGATCCTATTCAAGGTGATTGGATGATGATACATGATTCAGATTTTTCTGTTTGTTCTACTGTTCTTAGTGTATTTCTATCAATTAGTGGAATTTTTTTTTTTTTCAGTGTCTCATTTGCCACCTTCCATTCCTCACATACTGAGGCAATTTTTAGTGAGAGATTACACAGTAGTTAATTGTTTCATATTCAGTTTCCTTTAGAACTCTTGGGGAATGTGCTTTACTCTTTGCAGTTTGTTAGTATTCACTTTTTTCATTGGCTTTATAACCTCTTCTACCAACTTTTCAGTTTGAGATAAATCCTGCAGAGTATCCTCCTTGCCACTAACCTAGTCAACACAGGAACCTCAAAGTGTCCCCTCAGTGAATACTCATATCAAAATTAATGTAGATTTTCTACTATTGCCTTAATTTCTTTAAGTATATCTTTATA